GCCTCATAAAATGAGCTTGCGAGCCTTCCCTCTTCATGAATTTTTTGGAATACAATTTGAGAAGGATATGTGTTAATTCTTCTTTGAATATTTGGTAAAATTCACCTGTGAAACCATCCGGTCTAGGACTTTTGTTTGTTGGGAGTATTTTGATTACTGATCCAATTTTGTTAGTAGTAATCAATCTGTTCAGATTTTGTTTCTTCTTGATTTAGTCTTGGAAAATGGTATATTTCTAGGAATTTCTCCATTTCTTACAGATTGTCCAATTTGTTGGCATATAATTGTTCTTAGTATTTTCTTATAATCTTTTGTATTTCTATAGTGTCAGTTGTCACTTCTCTTTCATTTCTGATTTTATTTAATTGGGTCCTTTACTCTTTTTTTTTTTATAAAATTTATTTTAAAAAATAAACTTCAAAAACAAGGGAGACAGAAAACATGATTGGTTGCCTGGGAATAAGAGAAGGGACTAACTCCAAGGGGACACAGGGGAATATTTGGGGTGATGGACCTGGCTGCTTGCTTACACAACCAAAAGATTGAACATTAAGGATGATTTTACTGGATCTAAATAACTCAATTTTTAAAAAAGATTAAAAGGATAGCCAAAAATTTACCCAATGTAAAAAAATATAGAGCTTATGGTTTTCTCTTGTGGATAGTAAAAACAATTACTATAGGTGTAAAGAAAGGAATAGTAAATGAGATAGATCTTCAATATACAAAGTGTTCTCAAATGTTTTTTAAGAAAAATATGCTGATGCAGAAATAATATTTCTTTTTGGATTTATGATTTGACTTGAAATTTTTCTCTGGGAATAAAAATGCTAGAAATGCTTATTTTTAAATTTCACCAAAATCTTGGTAATAAGCGAGGCATTAAGACAATAGAGGGTTCTAAAATTAGATCTATAGAGCATTTTACTGTAAAAATATGTACAACTTTTAATTGAAAAATTTTATCTTGACAGTTAAAAATGCAGTATTTAGACAAATATTCAAATTTTCTTGAAATACAAAAATGCAAATGTAACATACTACATACAGTGTAACAAAATGTAACATAAACTACATATTGAGCTAAAACTGGATGTAGTTGTTTTTACATAACTGGTATTTAGAAACTCTTCAAACTCTACCTGTAAATGAAAAGTTAATAGGCAGAATTGTCTTTGGCTGTACAGGCAGCTCTTGCTTGGTGCCCTCCAACTATACTGTGGGCCTGACAACTTTCCTTTTGGCTGTTTATGGTGTAGGTGCATCAGGCCCTCCATCTCAGCCAGGAAAGAGTACTATGTCTTTGAAGTCTCTGAAAAGTGAAGAGACTGAAGGCATAGTACAGTGCTAATCCAGGAGGGTCCTCACCAGGCTGACTTTTATTTATTTATTTTATTTTTATTTTTTAAAAATATATCTTTATTGATTTCAGAGAGAGGAAAAGAGAGGGAGAGAGAAGATAGAAACATCAATGATGAGAGTCATTGATCAAGCCCACAACCCAGGCATGTGCCCTGACCGGGAATCGAACCCTAATCTCCTGGATCCTAGGTCCACGCTCAACCGCTGAGCCACGCCCGGCTGGGCACCAGGCTGACTTTCAAAGTTTTTTGTTTTGGGTTTAGGATTCTGCTTAATCACCATCACTTTCATCATTGTTGTCATTCTTCTCGCCCCCCTCCCCCCCTTCTCCTTAAGCATTTTCAGATATTTACTACCTAGTATCTTCTTTGGTGATATATCGACAAGAAACTGGAAGTTTCCGATTCCTCTGCAGTATTTGAGAAATCAGTGTAAGCTCTTTCTTTTCTTTCCCACTGCCACGTCTGTAGGAATGGGTGGCAAGATGCTGAACAGTGCCCAGCTGGCCGTGGCTCAGCGGTTGAGCATCGGCCTAGGATCCAGGAGACTGGGGTTCGATTCCTGGTCAGGGCACATGCCCGGGTTGCGAGCTGCAGCCGATCAATGACTCTCTCATCGTTGATGTTTCTATCTCTCCCTCTCTCTTCCTCTCTCTGAAATCAATAAAGATATATCTAAAAAAAAAAAGATACTGAACAGAGAGTTCCTCCTGTGGAAGCCCTCCAGCTTCCTGCGATAGCGTGAGGGCCGTTTGGGGAGTTGGGGCCCCGAAACCTCGAAATAGGCCCAAAGCTGAAAGCGAGAAGCAGGGAGCAGGCTGCGGGTCCAAAGTACGCCAGGCGATGGAGACAGGGCTGGAGGCGAGACAGGAGACCCGCGCCAGTCTGCCCCGCCCCACGTGAGCCCTGCGCGAGCTCCTATTTTTCTTCTTGATGAGCCTGCTTAAAGGTTTATCAGTTTTATCTTCTGGAAGAACCAGCTCTTGGTTTTATTCATTTCTTTTGGTTTTTTTGAAGACTATATATTGTTTATTTCCATTCTGATCTTTATTATTTCCTTAATTCTATGCACTTTGGGCTTTGTTCTTTTTCTGGTTCCTGTAGGTGTAAGGTTAGATTATTTGATATTTTTCTTGTTTTTTTAAGGTAGGCTTGTATTGCTACAAATTTTCCGTCTTGGGAGTGGCTTTTGCTGTGTTCCATGTATTTTGGGTTGTTGTGTTTTCATTTTCATTTTGTCTCAAGATATCTTTTGATTTTTTCCTGGATTTCATTGTCAACCCATTCATTGTTTAGTAGTATGTTATTTCGCCTCTGTGTGTTTGTGTGTTTTTCATTTTTTTCTTGTAATTTACTTCTAGTTTCTTACCATTGTGGTCAGAGAAGGTGCTTGATGTGATTTTTCTTCTTCTTAAGTTTATTGACACTTGTTTTGTGGCCTAACATAGTATCTTGGAAAATGTTCCATGTGCACTTGAAAAGAATAAATATTCTGTTGCTGTGAGGTGAAATGTTCTCAGAATATCAATTAAATCCATTTGGTTTAATGTGTCATTTAAGGCTGCTGTTTCCTTGTTGATTTTCTATCTGGATGATGCTATCCATTGATGTCAGTAGGGTGTTAGAGTCCCTACTATGACTACGTTACTGTTGATCTGTCTCTTTATGTCCATTAATATTTGCTTTATATTGGGTGCATACATGTTTACAAGGGTCATCTTCTCTTGTTGGATTGATCTCTTTATCATTATGAAATGTCTTTCCTTGTTTCTTATTATAGCCTTTGGTTTGAAGTCTGTGTTGGCCCTGGCTGGTAGCTCAGTTGGTTAGAGTGTTGTCCTGATACGCCAAGGTTGTTGGTTTGATATCCAGTCAGGGCACATACAAGAAGCAACCAGTGAATGCATAAATAAGTAGAACAACAAATTGATGTCTCTCTCTCTCTCTGTTCCTCTCTCAAATCAATAAATAAAATTTTTTAAAAAGTCTGTTTTGTCTGATCAAAATACTGCTTTCCCAGCTTTTTTTTTTGGTTTGTTTCTGTTTGTGTCAAATATCTTTTTCCATCCTTTACTTGCTGAGAGTTGTGTGCACGTGCCTCCTGTTTACCTCCCAGAGCCCTGAGGAGCAGGCCCTGAGATGGGAGAGGAAGGATGTGGGAACATGGGCCCCACAGCTGGGGAGTCTTTGGTTCAAAAGCCAGCATAATTTTCTCTTCCATATGACTACCTAGTCCCAAATAATTTTATAGAATAACACACCTTGCCCCCACTGATTGGTTCTGCTGCCTTTATCACATACTAAATTCCCATGTTTATTTGAGATTATTATTATTATTATTATTTTAAATATATCTTTATTGATTTCAGACAGAGGAAAGGAGAGGGGGAGAGAGAGGTAGAAACATCAATGATGAGAGAGTCATTGATCGAGCCCACAACCCGGGCATGTGCCCTGACCGGGAATTGAACCCTGATCGCCTGGATCCTAGGTCGATGCTTAACCACTGAGCCACGTCTGGCTGGGCTGAGATTATTTTTTATTTTTCTTACCTCTCCCAATGATCTCTCTGTGTGTGGGTTTCACACTAATGAATTATTGTAACTTTATACTGTGTTATACTATCAGGATTAGTCATTATTGTTACTTTTCTTTTTCAGCGTTATAAGGCAGTTCTTGCTTACTTTTTCCTGTAAACATTAATATTAACTGTGTTAGACCCCACTCCGAAGGCTTTGGTGTAGTTTTGGAGGTAATTTTAAACATGTTGATTAACTGGGAAAAAAGGGTATCTTTATGTTAAATCTTCCCATTCAAGGGCATAGTATGTTTTCTATTCATTCTTATCTCCATTGTTAGCATTTCCGTTTTCTTCTTGGGCCTCCTGCTCATGATAAACTTGCTCATGTTCACCCTTAGGTCTGGTAAGGTATTGTTGTTTGTGTATGTGAAGGCTTTGGGTATATGGACTTTTAAAAATTCTTTTGCCTGTACTTTTTCCTACCTAATTGACATCATATACTGAGAGGGTGTATGTGTATCTATGTGTATTTTATATATATCTATTCTCTTTTTCCCCAGCTTAATAGTAGCAAAAGCATTTCCTATGTTATCGTAACTTCTTGGAAACCATAATTTTTTTGGAAAATTTTTTTATTTTGGTAAAATAGATATAATATGAAATTTGCCATTTTAACCGTTTTTAAGTGTGCAGTTCAGTGGCATTAATCACATTCATGATAATTCACCATATTGTATAACCAGCACCACTATTTCCAAAACTTTTCATTACCCAAAACTGAAAATTATAACCAAGCAATGACTCCCCATTTTCCCTGCCCTCAGCCTCTGGTAACCTCTAATCTACTGTCTGTCTCTGTAAATTTGCCTGTTGTAGATATTTTATTAAGTGCAATATTTGTCCTTTTGTGTCTGGTTTCTTTTTCTTAACATAATGTTTTTAAGTTCATCTATGTTTTAGCATGTGTCAGAACTTCATTCTTTTTTATGGCTGATTAATATTCCATTGTGTGTATATACCACATTTTAGAAACCATCATTTTTACTGGCTCCACAATCCTCCTGTATGTGGATAGATCCTGGTTTCTTAGCCATTGTCTCCTTTTTGCCCTCACTCAGATAAGCCTCGTAGCAGATATGCTGTCAACAACACTGGAGATCATGCCGAGGACCAGGACGGCGACTCCAGGTAAGGACCCTGAAGTCACTCTGTGATGGAGCTAGTCCTGCCCCCATGTCTAGGCAAACCCCCACCTCCTGTTGACCTAGATGTTTCCTCTGAGAAACTGGGTGTTCTTTTTCCCATTTGGTGGGTGTTTTGGGTAGTGCAGAGCTGGGGATTGATTTGCCAATCTCTGGCTTGCTGCATAATTTGGTCACATGTTCCAGCGCTGGGCTGTGTGGTTAGTAAAGCATGTTGGAGAACAGATGAGGCCATGTTTGTTTTATTTATATCTATATGTCTATATCTTTATAGGTTTCAGAGAGAGAAAGGGAGAAGGAGAGAGATAGAAACATCTATGATGAGTCATTGATTGGCTGCCTCCTGCACGCTCCCTACTGGGGATTGAGTCCACAACAGGGGCATGTGGTCTGACCAGGATTGGAACCTCGATCTCCTGGATCACAGTTCGATGTTCAACCACTGAGCCACACCGGCTGGGCGAGGCCATGTTTCTGTAGGACATTTATCTCCTATGAGGCGAACATGGAGGAAAGCAGACCCTAGTGCTGTCCTCAGACCTTATTCCTCAGGCATGTGCCCAGAGGTCAGATGTATGTGTTCAGGTGCAATACAGTCTGTCCAGGTGGTGATACAGGCTGAGAATTAGGGCTGATTTGACCCTTGGTCTTTTAGGGCACAGATGAAAAGTGGGTCTTGTTCCTTCCTGTGTGTGCCCCCTTGTTCTCTGTGGGAAGGGCTATCATGCAAACATGAGAAATGACCGCTTCTGCCTTCTTATGTTCATTTTAAAGCTTAGTAGATGGTAACACAGGCCAAGATGAGGGGGAAAAGATTGTAAATTGCCTCTTCTGGTTCCCCTAAACATAGCCAGAGCCTTTGTGGGCCAAAGGACTTAGCCTCCACAGTCCCATGGGAAAGTGGCTGAGGTCCCCACACTGGGCCTTTGCCATGCAGCTGTTCGTGCAGTTTCCCTCAGTTCTCTGATAAGGCATTGCAGCTACCATAGTGTTGTGCAGTCCCAAGAGCATGGTTTTTGTTTTTTGTGTGTAAGAATGTTGGGGGCCTCTGGCGTGACAAGTGACTGTCTCTGAAGGGAGCAGGCTTTAGAAGAGGGACAAGCCAGGGGGAAAGGGATGGAGGAGGCTGTTGGACATTCAGTGGGTCCTTCTGCTTGACCTAGAAGCCAGTGGTTGTCTTGTCCTTTAAAGGTGGCAACTTGGAACAAACTCTTGTTACAGGCACACAGTTTTGCCCTGCACACTGGTGGGTAGCTTTCTCCTCCTGTGCCAAAGACTAGTTTGGAGTAGGGTTGGCTAGCTGCCTGCTGTTCTTCTTCCCAGCTCCGTGGATGTGGGGCTCAGCTCAAGATGTGAAGCCTCAGAAAGGCTCTGGGAATGATCTGTGTGGAGGTATTTTTTAGGAGGGCCAGGAGCACGTAAACCCTACAGTTAATTTTCAGTAGCTTGTAATAAAATGACTGTGAGGTAATGTCATTAGGTAATGTTAGCATATTATAGCATCTGATGATCCTACCCCCACCCCCCACATTTTCAGAGATACAGGTTAATACTCGTAGGGCCCCAGCTTAATTTTGTCACATAGGCCTGCCTAGCCGCTGCTCTGCCCCTGGCAGCTGGGAGAACCCTGTCGTACCTCAGACGTCTTCCTGGAGCACTGCAGTGAAGGTGCATCATACCCATTCCCTGTTCTCCTGCATTGTCCTTCTCAAAGGTACTTTTCTTCTGGATGTTCCTGCTTGTCAGTTTGCCAGATTGAAGCAATATTAACAGGCCACATGGGTAACTTGTGAATGTGGTGGCGGCCTGTCTTAGAGAAGTGAGGGTGCAGAGCAGTGCTGCCCAGTGTTATAGTTACTTGCCAGTGTGGCCACTTAAGTGGAAATGAACTGAAATTAAATAAATTTGAAAATTTATTTCCTCAGTTGCACTCGCCACATTTCAGGTGTTCAGTGGCCACATGTGACTAGTGTATGCTATATTGAATGGTATAGATTTAGAATATTTCTGTCACTGTAGAAAGTTCTGTTGGGCAACACTGGCTTAGAGAGTAGGCTGGTTTTATAAGGTGAATCATCAAGATGATGTTATTTCAGGGTATAAGAATTAACTGTCAGTTTTTAAAAGCCCTACTAGAATTCAGAAGGGAGAGAAGAAAATAGATATTGTCTGTTGTCTTTAAGGCTTGAAATTCAAGTTCAGAAAAGTTGTAGTGTCCCTGTTTGTTGGGTATTAAGGGCCAGGGTGCTCATGCTTAATTCTACTTCTGGTTTAATTACTCTACACTGGCAGGGACAAAGCCATCAGGAGAGGTACGAAAGGAAGCCTGGTATCTGTTGGAAAGGCTGTTGTGGGCCCAGTCCCTCCTGACGTGGATGGCTATTTTGGGCTTCCTTTCCATATTTCTAGCAGTGTTCTGCCTGCTGCCTCAGAGGAGATGCTGGTGGCTTGGAAGAGTTGACTTCATTTCAAAACACTCTGAAATCATTTGACTTTAGAGATCATACAAAAGACCTTCCCAAAGCTTTGAAAGGTTTCTGTCTCTACCCTTTATCTCTCTGTTGGCACTGTGAGACACAGAATCAGGTGACACTGCTGCCCTTCTCAGACTTGGCTACCTTTCCTGAAGCAGTGGGTCTGGTTTTTAGGCACAGTCATTCTGTGTGCTGGACGGGGGCCTCAGCCAGGTAAGCCTTAGTGCACACTAGCACACAACATGCAAGTCCTCCATACCGGGCTCACATGGGGCTCCACCACAGCCTCTTTTGACAGCTTTGCCTGTGCAGTACATGTGTTGAGATATGTTAGAAAGATGCCCCTACTTACTGGACTTGAGGTCAATACACAAGAATGTGAACAAGCAGTGTTGTCCCCAAGCTTGGGTACCTCTCTTCCCTTTTCCTGGCCCAGCTGAGCCCACACTGGTATCCACATTGGCACGTCCCTGTAAGGCAGCATGCTGGGACAAGCACAGGTTTAGGATTCCAGGTCTAATGCTCACTCTGTGCTCTACAGTATATGATCTGAGCATGTTTCTTAGACAGTGAGCCTCTTTTATAAGATGCCTGCAGGTGCCAGGGCACCTCTGCCTCTCCCTCCCAGGTCTAGATGCCGTGGGAACATCTGCATTGAGGTGAGAGTACTTGCTGGTGGCTCTGCCTTCCTCAGGTGGGCAGACACAGGTCCATAAAACATGCTTGTGGAGTTTAACATGTCACCACTACCCCCCAGGAAGGAAATGGAACACGTCTGACACTTGGAATCCCCATATGCTTCTTCCCTTTTGAAAGTCAAGGGATTTTGTGACCTGTCTAGCTGTAGGAGATAAAGTTCTAGGGGTTGCACTTGAACCTCCAGATTCTGACTTTCTGGCTGATCTTGGGAAAGTCCGCAAGACATCTTACCCTTTTACTACTCTACAAACTGATAAGCTAAAGTTTGGAAGCTACTGAAAAAAAGAGTTCCTTATTGTGTATTTCTCTTGCAAGGGTCTTTAGCAATGTGTGTTTCTCGGTGGGGAGCAGCAGTCTCAGCAGGGCAGCCTGGTGGACATGGCATGGCATCATGGCAGGCTCTCACCCCTCCGATGCTGTCTGCACTGTGGGGCTCAGGCCTACTTTCTGTTTCCAGGAAACTCGGAAAGCAGCATGTCCCAGGACACAGACCTCTGTAGAGGAACTTGAACTCTTTTAAAATATATTTTCTAAAAAACCTCAGGTCGGATAGTGCACAGGTCTCAGACATTTTCCAACATAAGTATATATAGATCTGCCATGACCACCTGTTGCTAAAGGGGCCACAGTCATATTCTGGGCAGAGGCTTAATCAGATCAGCTCTGCAGGTGGTCATAGCATCTCAAGAATTGGAGCTGAGATATTCAATAGCATTTTATGACTTTCATAAGGCTTTTACCTATGGGGATCTTATTTGAACCTGTTGAGATGTTTTGTCAGATTAAATACTTGTGCACGGGCATGTAGCCAATATGTGTGATGCTAGGCTCTGACCCAGGTTTTCCAGCCTTGCTCTTGCTTTTGGAAACAGACCCTAATTCTTGTCCAGTCTCTGTTTACATGAGAGAATTTGAGCTTTAGTGAGAAAACTGTGTGATAAGTCTTCAACTTGGGGAATGTGTGCATCCTTTCTTGTCTGGTAAGTTGCATAGCCTTGACCTCAACAGTTAATGCTTAATGGTGGTACTTCTGCTAGACTTTAATACTGTTTTAACAAGACAACTATAACTTTTCATAATTTTTAAAATCAGTGTGTTTTTGTTTGGTCTTGATGGTCCTGTTCCCATTTCAGCGAGCCATGTCCTCCAACCGATGAGCAATTGGTTGCAGGGTAAGACCAAGACTTCTCCACCGTCTTTCTGTCTTGATTCCTGCTACCTTCTTTTCTTATAATTGTGCTTAACTCCTGATTTCCCTCAGTGTTGAAGAATGACTAATGAGGCACACAGGCTCTCGCTCGGACCGCACTGCCCCAATCCTCCACGAGTGCCTAGGCTCCCCACAGCCCCTGCCCTTTCTCCACTTGGAGGTATTTAGCTATTTCGTATCCAAGAGGCCTAGGTAAGGTTGGCTGGCACCAGGGAGACTTCTGGGACCAGGCATACACTCAGACCCCCTCCTCCAGGCAGGCACCAGTGGCCCTATAAGGGTGGTAGGTGAGCAGAAGCAGGATTTCTTGTCTCCCTAGCTTACCACCCCCGTAGAGAGATCCTTGATTATTTCTTTTTGCCTTCATTTCTCAGAGGGGTTTAGTGGGGGCCTCCTTCCCAAGCGCTGGGTGTTAAGTGTAATTCTTGAGCTTAGATGCTGTTTTATGTGCCTTTTAGAGGCAAAATGTATCCATGGAGTTTATTTGGCACTTCTCCAGGAGGGCGTGAATAAGGTGGGGTCCTCCGGTCCCCCTGACAGGGCATCCCCTTTTGGCATTGGAGGTACACAGAGCATCTTTGAGCCCCCCATAATGGGAGCGGCAGAGTCGAGCTCCCTTCCATGCTGCCCCTCTCCTTTTTTTGGCCAAGCCAGGGAACAAACCCTGCTTTTGAATGTCTCAGAAGAAATGGAAGGTCTTGGCCTATTTTCTAACTGGGCTGGTTCATCTTTCTAAATGTTTTTGTTTTTTTTAAAATTTCTAAGTTATTCCAGGAATGTTAGTTTTTTGTAACAGCTATTTTATTGTGTACAATATAATTTACCAGGCCTTTTACCATCAAAACAAGGGAGAAAGATTTTTGTAAATTTTGGAAACAACAGGGGGTCAATTGGGGGGAAAAAATGGGACACCTGTAATACTTTCAACAATAAAGATAAATTTAAAAAAAACTTTGGAAACAACAAACAAATATTGTCACTTGTTTTTGTTTCAGTTTGCTATTTACAACAGTTATATCCCCTACCCTCCAAATCTCGTGATATAACTCTGTGTCTTTGTATATGTTATATCAGCAGACATATAAAGTATAAAGCCACTTAAGTGTTTTTTTTACCATAGGTCTTAATATTGCAGTGGCAAGTGGATTTCTCTGTGGGCCAGACTTGCTCAGACAAGCACCATCCTGCTGGCTGCCCCAGAGGGCCCTCCCTGAATGGCCATGTAGGGTAGTGTAGCATTTAACTTTAGCAGCACATGGCTTTCCAGTTGGCTGCTTCTGCAGACCCTGGCCTCTCTGGTCTTGAGAGGAAGCACTTTTTATTTGACTCGTGGAAGAATGCTTTCAGATTTGGATATTTATAGATATTCAATAGAGTACCAGTGCTTGCCTCTGAATCTCAGGACCCATCCCACAGCCAAACTAACCTAGGTTCCTGGACTGGTGGCTGAGGGCCAGGGCTGAGGCTCACCTGTGGGTCTTGATGACAGAGCAGAGGTTTTTAATGGAGATATTTGTATATCACAGGAAAGAGTGAACTTTCTGCAATAGTGGGATGTTGTTTTCTATACCTTATCTCTGTGTCCCTGGGTGGCAGAGTGAAGGAGCTATTTGTTCAGATAGGGTGTGAAATGTTGGCACTGGGTCAGTTGTTAGGGCAGAAGTGTTTGGGTTTATCACCCTGAGCCCTCCCTCACCATCACCGTGTCCCTCAGATGGGAGTTATAGGGCAGAGTGAGCCATTTAGAGTTTTTGAAGTAAACATATAATGCCTCTGGTCTAAGACACTGGAATCTTCCATCTCTGATTTAATCATTCCAGAGAGCAGTGTTCTAGGGAAGAGACACCTACAGTAGGACTTCAGCTGTGAGTCCCACATTTCCCAGACTGACTCTGACAACCTCTCTCACAACCTTGGTGTTGAAAGGGCCTAGTGTAGTCCTGATGGTACAAGAGGCAAACCCTTTGCATCTTTTTTTCCTTGGAGCCACAAAGCAACCTAGGGTGCCTAGAGGACCATGTCAGCCCTGGGAAAGGCTAGAAACCAGTGTGACACCCTCCCTCCCCAAGGCCTTAGCAGTTCTAGTCTCCCCTCCCATCTGTGGGAGAGAAACTTGGAAAGAGTCCCCCTAGCTGCTTGTCTTGCAGTTTTTCTGAGTGCTGGTGATCAGCAAGGTTCTTGCTGCAGGCGGGCTCTGAGTTACTTTTGTAAAAAAAAATTGATTTTTAGAGAGAGAAATTAGAGGGAGGGAGGCATGGGTGGAGGGAAGGAAGGGGGGAGAGGGAGAGGGAGAGAGAGCGAGAGAGAGAGAGAGAGAGAGAGAGAGAGAAACTGATTTCCATTTATTTATGCATTCATTGGTTGCTTCTTGTATGTACCCTGACAGGGATGGAACCCGCCACCTTGGTGTATCAGGATGATGCTCTTAACAACTGAGCTACCTGGCCAGGGCACAAGTCACTCTTACATTAGGTGGTGACCCCTGCCATGTGTAAGGAGCCCAGAGCAAATGACCCCCTTCCTAGATCCTTTTATCCCAGAGTAATTTCTTATTTCAGAGTTCAGCTGAAGCAGCAGTTTATAGCAGCACATCTTTTTTTCTTCAAAAAATGAAGAGGTATGGTAGCTGTTCCCCTCCCCCACATGAGGTCCTTCAGGAGAAAAGCATCAGGTATGGTGCTTGATTCACTGTAGCTCCTCAGCAAAGGCCTGGGACCCACACTGGAGTGTCTGTCTTTGAAGGCCTCTAGGACTATAGAAGTCTGTGCACAGGGACAGAGCATGGCCCTGGGGGATCTGGAGCCACTTTTCCCAACACAATGTTCCCTCCCAACCTGTATGCTAGAAATGCTTTCCCCAGGTGGAGAAATGAGCACAGGACTTACTCTTCTGGCTCCAGCTCAGACATGGTGCATCAGTGTTTCTAAAGTGGAACGCCCCCTCCCCCAAGCCTGGGCTCTGAGATAAGAGTCTGCACTGTATCCTCCAGCACTCTCCTCCCTGTGGTGACTCTCCCTTATCTGGAACCCCCCTGGGCAGGAAGGAACAGGGTTGCCAGTAAGAAAACATAAGTGTATAGATACACCTTGCAAAGGGGTGAACTCGTATCCAAATCTGCTTTCACCTACACACCATAGCCATTCCCACTCTGTGGCATCCAGCCCTGTGCATCCTATGTTTATATCATATCAGTGGGTCTGCATATCCTGCACATATTAAAAGTTTCTTCCCTAATAAAAACTGGAAGGTGTAAGTGTTCAGGATAAGGGAAGGGCCAGGAAGCTGTACTGAGGAAGGTAATTAGCATGCTGCCATTAGTACTGAACCCTTGCCCTTTACATAGCACTGAGGGGTTGGGGGTTCCTGGGGGTTGAGGGGTAAAGCCTGGAAACCTGGATCTTGTGGTAGCCGCCCCTCCCCCGTGAGCCTTAATGAGCAGCTCTTCAAGGCAGCGCCAGCTTCGGCTGTTCTTCCCTTTAAAAGCAAACTGCAACTTGTTTCTCTCCTGAATTTCATAGAGCATGCCAAGAAATTGACAGCATGTGCCTTAAGTCTATGCTTCTCATGCCTTTTACCTTGTAATTTTGGTGATTTTATGTCTCAAATCTTGGGGATTGCTTCAGAAGGCAACTGATAAAAGCTTCTAGGTCATCAGTGGTCAAGCCACTTGGTGCACAAAGCTGCCATATACTGAGACCCTTGCCCTCTGAGGGCAGCTGGTGTGGGGCTGTGACACTTTGCTCACTTATTTCCACTCTACCTCTTTAATTTTAAGGTTTTCAGATGTCATTCTGGCAACAATTTTGGCAACCAAGTCTGAAATGTGTGGCCAAAAATTTGAACTGAAGATCGATAACGTGCGTTTTGTTGGGCACCCGACACTCCTACAGCATGCGCTGGGGCAGGTAAGCGCCTCCTGAGCAGATAAAGCTCTCCCAGGATGGGCATGGCCCTCAGGGAACTGTGGGTGACACTGGCTCTGGTAAATGCAACTACTGTGTGGCAGACCTGACCAACTACTTGCTATTAGCAGCTTGTCCTCATAGGCCCTGAGGGTCCCTTGGAGAAAGAGACAGGCATCTTTGCCCCCAGAGCTTCCATCCCAGTCTCCAGCTTTTGTAAAGTGGTACAAGTAATTCTTATTAAGTGAAATCATAGCCAATATTATTATTAATTTAGCTCTTACTATTGTGCTAAACCCTTTATATGCATTCTCTGATGAATGAATTGTTACAGTACTGGGTAGTTTTAACAAGATTGAATGCACCGTGACCTAAGGGAATTTGCACACCAGAAACTGCCAGTCAGTCCTTTGCATACAGGCAGAATCAGCAACAACATCACTCAGATTCTGATAGGTTTTGATATGACATTATACAATTTAGCTCCATTTAAATGATCCAGAAATATGAGGGTCTATGATGTGGTCCTCAAATCTTCTCCATGATCAAGCCCATAGAAAGCTGCTGAGGTGGTTGGAGGTGCCAAGATATGAGGCTGTGGCTGGGTGCACCTGACCCCATGTACAGCACCCTCCCTCCTCACCGAAACCCCTGCAGGTGAGGGTTAGTCCCTGATTCTGACCTGTGGGTGATGGAGGGGAGATTTGGCAGCCTGTCAGCTGTCATGGACTTGTGAAACTGGAGTGACCGGGAGAATGGTGATGAGCCAGTTGGATGCCCCAGGGAGAGCTAGAGCCCTGGCCTCTTATGCCCCCTGGTGGCAGCACTTGTAATCAGCTTGTTTTTGACAATGTTGGCTGGATGCCAGAGCAGCAGCCCTGTCTCTGCTGGCTCTCAGCCTTGTCCTGTCTCTTAATCATCCTGAGTACTTACCATACCTGGCAGAGATAACCTGGAGAACTCAGGTGGACACTGGGGATGGTGGGGGGTGTGTGTGGAGTTGGGCAAAGAACACTCCATCTCCTTGGGCCCCTCTCCATCTTGTCTCCTCTGGGTACTTCAGCTCACTTCCATTGACTGGAGCAGCCTCATCACACTGGGTCATAGCACTGACCTTCCTATTCGTATCTCAGTGGTGACTCATCTGTCCGTGGTACCACCACTAGCTCATGCAAAGGCGCTAATCACTCCTCCAAGACCTGGGGCTGTTTTGTTTTGGTTCTGCTATATTCTGGAACCTTTCCCATGCCTAAAGTAGAATCGCTCTAGACAGCTCTCCTTGGGATGTGGTGGCTCTCATTCATTAGAATTATGTCTCTTTTACAGGTCTCCAAAACAGACCCATCCCCGAAGAGGGAAGCTCCCACCATGATTCTTTTTAATGTGGTATTTGCACTGAGGGTGAGTGTTTATAAATAGCTGAAGAGCATGGGCAGATCAGGGAGGAGTGTCAGGGGAGTAACAGCAGCTCATTTCTGATTAGTGTGTCATTGACTCAGAGCTTAGACTGCAGTGGGCATGGCACTGTCTACTCACTCTTTTCCTCTCTCTTTTTTTTTTTTAAAAGAATACACATAACATAAAATTTGCCCTTTTAACTATTTTAAAATATACAGTTTGGTGGCATCTAGTAACACTATTGTGTAACCATCACCATTATCTAGTTTCAGAATGTCTCCTAAAAGGAGCTCAGTTACCCCCTTTCTCTCCCCTGCCCCCTCCCAGCCCCTAGATACCACCAATCTGTTTTCTCTCTCTGTGGATTTACCTGTTCTGCATGTTTCATATGAATGGGATCCTACAATATGTAGCCTTTAGTATCTGGCTTCTTTCACTGAGCACAGTGGTTTTGACATTATCCCTTGGTATGTCTGTCAGTACTTTATTATTCCTTTTTATGGTCAAATTGTATTCTGTCATATGGATAGACCACACTGTGTTTATCCATTCATCTGTTGATGAACATTTGGGTTTTCACCTTTAGGCCGTTATGAACAGTGCTGTTAAGGATATTTGTATACAAATTTTTGTGTAGACACATGTTCTCATTTCCCGTGGGTATATACCTAGGAGTGGAATTGCTGGGTCATATGCTAACTCTGTGCTTAACCATTTGAGGAACTGCCAGACTGTTCTCCATAGCGGCTGCTCCATTTTATGTTCCTACCAGCAATGCCCTAGGGTTCCAATTTCTTTACATTCTGACAACACTTGTTATTTTCCTTTTTTTTTTTTTAGAAACAAAAAAGCCAAGTTTATTCATTCATTTCTTGCACTTGAAGTGCTCTTCGATGACATCCTTTGCCTGAGACTCTTTCCCATAGTCCTTAACCGTCACACAACTGCAGCCAGCCACTTTACGGGGTTTTCCCTCTGTCAGTTTTACAGAGGCCTACCCATTCCCCCAGTTTCTCGTTGTTGTCAGCTTTAATTAGGTTGATTTGGTGTTCAGCACAAAGGGCCTCCACCAACTTGATGTGCATAGGCTCATCACAGGTGGATGCTAGCACACAAAGGTGGGTTTGGCGCTTGTCTAAGGCTTTGGCAGCTTCTTGAGTTCCGCGCGCTAGGCCATCGTGGATGAGGGCGGTCTTCAGTACCTCTTGTAAAGCAATATTAACATCCATTACACCTCCAGCAGCGATGCCTTCCTTGGCCATGGCGGTGGGTTATGGGTAGAGCCAAATCTTGAGCGCACCCAGGCCTCTGCCTCCACATAATTCCACGGCGGCAGGGAAAGAGCTATTTTCCATTTTTTAAATAATTAAACCTAATTGTTTTTAAGGCAGTTCTCAGTGTTGTTTAAAGTTGTGTTTTTAATAGTTATAGGAAATTCCTTTTCAGTAAAGCTGTCAAAATATAAAGGATCCAAATAAACATGAAAAGCACTCCTGGGGAAGGACTGTCTTTTATTTTGAAGGGACTTTGGAATACCTAGGAAATTTCTATTCAGTGACTGTTAAATAATGACTGAAATATTTGAGTATCAGTTTTTACCAAAGGATGCAGTAGTTCTTTCTGGCTGGGCACATGATCTGCCTGATGCCTTTTGTGCAGAAATATGAGTGAGAAAGTGACTGGATTTCGGTGACAAGGAACAGGGTATGCTCTGAAGACTTTCAGAGTGGCAGAAGTGAGACTGAATAGAAAGGGAACCTGTAAAATTAGATGCCATTCTAAGTCTCAAGGTGTTTTTTTCCATAGTGTCTTTTTTGGTGTGGAGACTACAGGTCTCACTCTGAATGGTTCGAAATCAAAATAATATTCGAGAAAAGCTCCACCAGAATGGAGCTTAATTTTTAAAACTGGCATACCTTGTTGACAAATAAGGAACTACAAGTTAGAACAAAGTGATTTGTTAGTGGTGGGGCATGAGGTTCCAAGAGGTCTTTCTTCCCACTTTATACACTTCCATAGTGTGTGCATCTTCACAGTATCCTTGTATTACTTACATAATTGCATAATACAAAAACATCCCCAAAGAGAACTCAAATTAAGTAAAAAAACAAGCAAACAAAACCATGACGAGTGCCGTCCACCTGTCAGCCCTGATAGCCCCTGTGGGATGGGCAGTGAGGAGCAGCCACAGCCCCACCCCAGATGTTGCAGGCAGGCCCTCATCTCTGGGCAGAATGTGATAGCAGAATGTATAGTAGTCAAGCGCATATTTTAACTTGTGTAAGGACTTCTATAGTAATTAGGCTGGAAATAATTCTGGTATCCAGTACTTGAAAAATGATTGGAAAAGTGGTGGTTATTATTATACACTGGCATGTTTGTGGCCATTAAAGAGGAGAAATGGGGATGATACCAGAACCTGGAGGAGAATAGATGACCAAAGACAGTATAGGACTTCAGAGCGCATGGGCCGCAATGTTGAAGAGTAGAAGGAATTTTAAATAATGTTTAGAGTTGGTGTTTTAGGGTAGACAAGTTTTTTCTTTTCTTTTCAGTAGTCATACAAAAATGTGTGCTTTTTTTTATTTTGAAAAGTTTTAAACCCCTAAATAGTGACAATAGTTTGATATACCTATACACCTGTCTCTGAGATCCCACAACTATCACCTTTGCACCTTAGCTCCATCTACACTCCCCCACCTTGTCACTTAAGTATTTCAAGACACGTCTGAGACCTCATGTCTGTTCACTCCTACATACTTCAGAACGGACCTCTATAAAAATATGGACATTTATTTTATACCAGAATACCCTTTTCACACCTGACAAAATTTGCAATAAGTCGGTATCAACTAGTACATGGTCCACTGAAACTTTCCCCAATTGCCACAGCATTTTTTCCAGTTGGCCTGTCTGAACCAGGATGAAGACCCAGCCCACACAAGCATGTGGTGTGTCTCTGGATGTCTGCCAGCTTAGGACTCTCTCCTCCCTTTGTCCCATCAAATGTTCTATGTTTGCTCTCATCTCATTGTGCAGACAGTCAGACTTGCTCTGTGTCCTTGTATTTCCTGCAAACTGGATGTTAGCTCTGAATGTCTGATTACATTTGGGTTTGAGTTCTGGGGACAAGAAAGTCTCACAGGCGATGCTAAACTTTATGCTGCCTCACATCATGTACGGGGAAAGTGTGGCATTTCTAAGAGCTCCCACTCAGGGCTGGCACGTCCTAGGTGGTAGCTCTCCCTGTGGCCACACAGCCTCAGGCTCTGCAGGCACCTTGAACAGTGCCTGGCCTGTGCAGCCAAACAGGACACCCTGGCACACTCCATCGGTGCTGGTCATTGGACCTTGCCTGGGTAAGCACCACCTTGCATATCTGGGAATGCTGTCATAGGCCCTGAGCATGTGACAACATTGTCATGCCCCAGCCAGTGGGACCTCTAGCAGAGGGTCGGGTTCTCAGGTATGACTTGATTACTTCTTCAAGAGAATAATCATGTGCCCAGGATCATTCTCCTACCTCTGCTTTGCTGTGGGAGTATTTTCACACAGATTCTTCTGAAAGTGTTTAGAGGCAATTGTGTGTACCCTATACCCCAGACCCTACAGTTTTGTAACCTTGCCTGGAACACTGTTGAGGGGATGCCCTTGACATGAAGGGGCAGGGCTGCTGCCTGGTGGTGGGCATAACATGGGAACAACCTTTGGTTCTCTCCTTAGCACAGCGTATGCTGCCAGGTGTGAGTTCTGTTTGTAAGCATGAGATCTGCTAGTTTCGAAAATCTTTCTAACTTCAGGTGATAAAGGTGTCTACTGTGGACACTTCATGGGCTGCGCCCTCTGACAGATGGAGGAGAGGGAGGCGGCACCAGAGGTTCTAATCAGCAGCACCATTCGTCCTCCTTCCTTTTCCCACCTCCACCCTATGAGATGACTCAGCTGCCCTCTGGGCCTCCAGAAGCACTGAGTCATGGTTTGCCAGTTATCTGCTCCAAGAAGCATCTTCACAGACCCCACAGCCACCTGCTCCACCCTTGTCCTGGCCCGACTGCAGCCCCAGATAGTTTTCAGAGTTAACATAGGTGTGGAGGGAGCTCGGGGAGGGGAGTGGCTGGAGCCTGCTGGCTTCTGTTAGCCAGGGTCATTTCTGCTGGGAAGAGCTACTTAAACTTGAGGACAGAAAATGTTCAGTGAACAATTAGCCTGGTGCTCCTGTTTATTATACTGTGTGTCCCTATTAGAGGGTCTGTGTGACTGAATTCTCCCATAGCCAGTCTGTCTACCAGCAGTCGGCAGTACACTGGTGGCCACAAACACTGCCAGGGATTTTGCTCTAGGTAGGCTCTGTTCTAAGCACTTGACATTTCTGACTCATTGGTGAGGGGGGTGCCACTCTTGTCCTTTCTCAGATGGGAGCCTGTGACCCAGGGTCAAACAGCAGGTGGTTGGAGAGATCTGTACCTTCCACTGCCCCACTGGCTGCCTCTGCCAGGCCAAGAGTGGATGCCTGATCTGTGCCCTGCCTTCTTGGATGGCCCTGGTGTGGTGCCCTGCAGTGTGGGAGCCTTTCTCTATGTGTTAGAAATGCCTGGTTCCCCATCCCCCTCACTGGGTGACCCCACAGAGTGATCTCTGTGCTGCCATCCAGGCATCAGTCCCCAAGATAGGATGCTGAGTGGACTGGTGTTTGTGGATGGCCCCTAGAGGGGACATAGGAAATTGGTGGTACTTGGAGAGGGACCTGGGGAAAAGGAGTAGAGAAGGATTCTTTTGTGGTTTGGGTTTTTGCTTTGTATGTGTACTGTCTGAATACGTATGCTGCATTTGAATCTTGTGTGGCCTCCCACAGGCCAACGCAGACCCCTCGGTGATCAACTGCCTGCACAACCTTTCCCGACGTATTGCTACTGTGCTACAGCATGAGGAGCGCCGCTGCCAGTACCTCACTCGGGAGGCCAAGCTGATCCTCGCGCTGCAGGACGAGGTTTCTGCTGTGGCTGATGGTGAGTGCAGCTGGAGTCTGTCCTACCCCAAACCAAAGAGCAGGCAGTGTTTCTAGGCAGGACACTGATCCAGTTTTGTAGATACGAAAACTGAGGTTCTTAGAGGTTCCACAATCTTCACCCTGAACTGAGCATGCCCCTGAATGCAAAGGAGGACTCCTCAGGGGCATAGCCATAGACCCCCTTTCCTGAACTGATGTGTTAAAATTGATTTCTTAGCCCTGCTAGCGTGGCTCAGTGGTTGAGCATCCACCTATGATCCAGGAGATTGAGGTTCCATTCCCGGTCATGGCACATGCCCCGGTTGCGGCACGATCCCCAGTGAGGGGCATGCAGGAGGCAGCCAGTCAGTGACTCTCTTATCGTTGATGTTGTTTCTCTCTTTTTTAAAAATATATCTTTATTGATTCCAGAGAGAGGAAAGGAGAGGGAGAGAGAGATAGAAACATCAATGATGAGAGAGTCATTGTTCAGCTGCCTCCTGCATGCCCCCAACTGGGGATCAGGCCCGCAACCCAGGCGCTTGCCCTGACTGGGAATCAAACCGGGATCTCCTGGATCCCAGGTCGACACTCAACCGCTGAGCCACGCCCGGCGGGGCATCGTTGATGTTTCTTTCTCTCTCTCTCCCTCTCCCTTCCTCTCTCTGAAATAAATAAAGATAAAAAAAGAAAAAGAAAAAAAGACATCATCATAATAAAAATAGCTTATCTTGCATCAACCTCCCATTTATTTGTTTGTTTGTTTATTTATTTATCTTTATTGATTTCAGAGAGAGGAAAGGAGAGGGGGAGAGAGAGATAGAAACATTAATGATGAGAGAGTCATTGATTGGCTGCCTAGCCCGCAACCCGGGCATGTACCCTGACCGGGAATCGAACTCCGATCACCTGGATTCTAGGTCGATGCTCAACTGCTGAGCTACGCCCCGCCAGCCTCAACCTCCCTTTTAAAAAATAAAATAAAATAAATAAATAAATAAATTGATTTCTTAGCCCTGCTGGCCCTGGTGCTGTAGGACCTGGGGTTAGAGGACATGTGGAAGGGGACAGTGGGAATATTGAGCTGGCAGGGTGGATGCTTTCTAGTTTTTTGCTTTCAGCTAAATTGAAGGAGGACCTATGATTGGAGTTATCAACTAAAAAGTTATTGAAAATAATTTGTGCTGATAGATACATTATTATGTGTTTTTTTTGCATACTGTCAACATTTCAAAGTGCAGAGAGACACCTCCCTGTAACAAACCTCCACCTCCATCTTCTCAGGTCAGCACCTCTAACAAGAGAAAACCAGGAGCACATTTGAAGGTGAACCCAGTCTAATTTTAGCAATAAATGAAAGTAGTGATCACCATGCATGAACTCTCCCACTCAGGTGCATTTTCAGTAAAAATTTACTTTTCATGTTTAACAATGAAGTTTTATTTTTTAAAACATTTTCTTTAGACTTTATCATAGGAATTAAAAAAAATTCAATTTAGTATGTATATTTTTGTTAGACATTTATGAGAAAGGATTAATGGAAAAGACTTTCAGTCATAAAAATAAATTACATAAACATAGGGGAAAGAGTGGGATGGGGCATGGAATTACATGATCACTGAGGCAGAAGATGGCTCTGGTGGTCTGAGGTAGTCTTCAGGAGCAGCCAGTGAAATGGTTTGTTCCTGTGATGTCTGTGACTACAGGATCAGGTGGGGCCAGTGCTGAAGTTTAAATACAAATATTCATATAAAGACAGTTGAACAAATCAGCCTAAGTATAATTTTAATTCAACTGGATGCAAAAATTTTATTAGAAGCAGTTGTGAGCGCTGGCCAGTGTGTCTCGGTTGGTTGGGTATCTTCTTGTGCATTAAAAGGTTGCGGGCTCAATCCCTGGTAGAGGGAGTGCAGGAGGCAGCCAATTGATGTTGCACTCTCACATTGATGATTCTCTCTCTCTCTCTCTCCCTCCCTCTCTCTCCAAAAATCAATAAACTATTTTAAAAAAAAGCAGTTGTGAATATCCTGATGTTTGGTTTAATGTTACTTAAAATCCTTTAAGTTAAACTTGTTTTTAAAGTTATTTTCTATTTCAGCTTGTGTTTCCTTGCTTTGGAGATTCTAAATCCTTCTGTGTCACAATTCTTACAGCAAATGATGGTCCTCAGTCCCCGTTCCATCACATCCTGCCCAAGTGCAAGCTCGCCAGGGACCTCAAGGAAGCTTATGACAGGTAAGAGTGGTGAGCAGCACATGCTCCCTGCGCTTCCTTCCCGTGGGCCTTATTGCCTGAGCAGTGTCTGAAGATGGGACTCCCTCTGCTGGGTGCTGTTCTTCTGTTGTGCCACTGAAATGGGGATGAGAGAGGGCAGGAAGTGCCAACCCCGTTTGGTGTGTGCCCGGTTGGAACAGTCACCTCCAGATTTCTCTTAAGCCAGAAAATGAACCTGAAGTTTTGCATGAGAGCCTGAAGGTGCTTTTGAGTCCTCAAGTGCAAGGTGATTTTACTGAGCTTGACACAATGCCAAGTTCTGGGTCCACCTTCATTAGGTGGGTGTCACTGTCACCATTTCACACATGAGGAAACAGGCTCAGAGGATGGAGCTGGGGTTGGCCATGTTCCTCCCTGCCCTGGGGGACTTGGGATTTGGGACACTAGTGAGTTCAGCAGGTGTTGGAGACACAGTGGAAACCTCACAGTTATTCTGATTATATTTGTGGCTCAGCACCTACTCTCTTAAACGTGGACAAGCAAAGAACTTATTTTCTTTTTAAAGGGTGTCCTTGTGGCTCTGGCCCTGGGTCTGCAGTGGGGGATGGGGGCTTGGTGGGGGCTGGTGCCCAAGTCACAGCCCACCTGGCAGTTTTGCCTTTCCTGCCCTGCACCTGGCCCGTTGGTTTGGTTCACAGGGTACCACCTCGCACGAGGCAGACAGCATATAGGCACAGGCTCCTTCAGTGCCTTCCATTTCCATCGCCTCTCTCTGCCTCTCTTCCTCCCTCATTCTCTGACTTTTCCACATTCTCCTTCGCAAGTGCATGCAGCTCAGTGCTCCTTCCTGGCCTTCCCAGGCTCCACTGCATTCCAGTGGACTCTTCTCCCCACTGGAGATGGTCCTACCTAAGAACTGTGTCCAGTGACACAATGTACCATCTAAGCCCAGAGACAGTGGTTTGTCCAGGATCCTTTCCCTCTTTCATGTTAATTTTTTCTGATTTTGCTAACATTATAGATATTTAGGAAATACAGAAAAGTATAAAGGAAGTAAAAGTCATCTATAACTTCATACCCAGTGATAATCACTATGAACATTTAAAAAAATGTTTTTATTGCTATTTAGAGACAGAGAAAGGGAGAGGGAAAGAGATAGAAACATCAATGATGAGCGAGAAACATCAGTGATTGGCTGCCTCCTGCATGCCCTCCACTGGAGGGGCATAACCTGGGCATGTGCCCTGACCTGGAATCAAACCTGTGACCTCTTGGTTCATGGGTCGACACTCAACCACCGAGCAACACCAGCCGGGCAATCACTGAACATTTTGATAATTTTTGTTCTTTTTTTTTTAAACTTGATTTTTTGAAAACGTCACATATTCATCAAGTCTGAAAACTAGAGTGTTTAGTTTCTCTCCTGCTGCACTCCCACCAGGTGGGTTCTCATCCTGGGGGCAGGATGCATTTCAGCAGGCAGCCACATGTCATGTATCCTTCCTCACAGATGGCTTTAAGGTGCATACAGTCAAATACTGACCCACTTTCTCCCTTTTACATAGTGGTAGCACGCTGTGCATCCAGTTAGCCTGTTCCCTTCTCAATTTAACAGTATAACTTATCTTTTTTTTGCTGCGTAATAGCCAGCCCCCTTCCTTGGACATTTAATTGGTTTCACCTTCTGCTGCTGTAAGACATGCTGCTCAATCATATTCACGTGTTATTTTGCATGTGTACCCATATATCCATAACATAAATTCCTAAAAGTGAAATTGCTAGGCTGAATAGGTAAAATGTATTTCCCTGTCAACACAGGGTTTTGGTGAGCTTTTTGGTTTTAACCAGTATCAGCATGGTATTTCAGTGCAGCTTATACATGTCTTCACATGTTTAAGCCATCCTTCTTTTCTTTTCTTTTAGCTCTCTGCTCAGATCTCTGGTTTGTTTTTTTGTTGGGGGATGTAGATGCCTTTATAAAGGAGGGAGAGAGTTGCCCTTTGTAAGGCAGCTTATGTTTCCTTTGTCTTTATTTTGGTGACCTCTGGGTGTGGCTTCTGGGTGTTACGAGAACATCAGGGCAGCCTGAAACAGACCTTGCTTAGTGAGAACTTGACCCAGAATGGGCTCTTTGGTCCTGCATTCTGACCCACATGATCACATTGAAGTCATCTCTGTGTTAAAAGAATTGTTGCCCTCTGGTCTTGAATTAACTGGTATCAGAAATCCCTTTTTTGGGCCTGGCCGATGTGGCTCAGTTGGTTGAGCGTTGTCCCATGCAGCCGATCAATATTTCTCTCTTACCAACATTTCTCTCTCTCCCTCTCCCTTCCTCTCTCTCGAAAATCAAATTTTAAATACCATAAAAAAAAAAATCTCTCCCTTGGAAACTGCTGTTGCCTTACTTTGGGAATTTGCATGCCTCAACTAGGATTACACTTTATCTTAGCCAAAAGGCCAAGAAGCAGTCTCAACTAGGATTAGACAACAGCAAAATTCAGTCTAACCTGGAATTAAAATAAAAAGAAAACTAGAAACAGACTTTATATTCGTAAAGAAAGAATGGACTGATATCTTCAGTGTGAACTGCACTGGCAAGCTGGAGGGATGAGATCCTGGATTGTATGTCTGAGGGCCTGCTGCAGCTCAGAGCCTGAGTCAGCCAGTGCCCCCTAGTGGGCATCTGTTTGAAGAAGGACAGGAATTGGTTTTAGGCAAAAACAGCTCCCAGAATCTACTGTCCAGCATTTAGCTTCCATCCTCTAACCCAGGCATTCTGTTGTGTTAATGCCCAGGATCAAATTTCCTCTAGCTGAACCCCCAGCCCACCCACTTCCTGGTCCCCACCCTGACCAGTCCTGGTTTTGGGACTGACCCTAGGGAAGGCAGGGGCAGTTGTGTCCACCCCTGTATCTGTCCCAACCTGGCAACAGCAATGGCTCTGCGACCACCCAGGAGCCTCCCTGGCCTGTGGCCTGTGGCTTGTGGCCTGTGGCCTTCCCTCTGACCATGTCCTACCAGGTCCATGTTGGCCTTGAGGGCCTGGCCTGCCACCGCATCTGCAGGATGGACTGCACCTTGGAGCTAAGAAAGGGAGACTGAGTTTCCATTACTGATCAGGCAGCATAGAACACAGATGGCTGGCAACTTCCTGACAGATCTCTTGGAAAGGTTTTCTCAGAGCAGAAATGAGGCAGGAAGCTATGAGACTTAGTGGTGGAGATTGGGGTGGGACTTTTCAAAGGAATTTTTCTGGGTTTGATGTTTTAATTAAAATCCAGGGTTGTGGGTATGGCTGAGTTGACTGGGACCTAAGTGTCTGTGAATGTAGGCCAGCAGTGTGAGTCTCTCCGGAGGCCCCCTAACTGTTCTAGCACCTGTGTCTCCTTGTAGAATTTGGCGACCTCAGTGACAGCATCTCACTCATTTGCATGACGGTCAGCTTGTGTCTCCCATGGGGTCTCGGACATCCCTTCACTTGTGCTCAGCATGTGGAGAAGCACAGCTCGTCCGTTAGTGGTTGAAAGGAGGAATAAATAGGAGTCACGTCAATGTGGATTCCGTGGGGCTTGAAGAAGTATTTGTCGACTGGTTCTCCATAGTTAACAGGGATTTTGGTGGGGCCTGGGAGACAGTCCAGGGCCTGGCTGGGCAGGTGGTATTAGGTGTGCTGGGGACTCTATGCCTGCTCCTCACTGCCTCACATTGCTGCCTGTCCAGAGCAGATATGGGCCCACACCTCCACGAATATCTTGGGAGTTTTAGTCTCTATTTCCATAAAGTATACCTACATATAAACTTTCAATTGAAATCTCAAGGTGGGCCTTTTGGAGCCCACCCAGACCTCTTGGATTGGGTTCAGTGTGCCACTGTGTGTAGTAGGAATCCTGGCTGCATGAGACCAAAGGGACCAGAGGGTACAGGGCTGGCTTTGAAGGTCTGTGGCCTAGGGCAGGAAGACGGGTGACCAAAGCATGTTTCAGTTATTAGCCCAAGGTTAGGAACTGAAATTCTTTCTCAGATGCCAAGATCTGAGGGTAGTGGAATAAGCTTGTACACATTTCTGTCTGGGGTGTGAAAGATAAGAGCATAATTTAGGTCGGTGTGGAGCCTCATGCACAGTCATCACTTCAGGACTGGGGCTCTAGCGGGAGCATGCGTATATCTCTTGTTGCAGACAGGGCTTGGCTCTCCCTTCTGGCCCACAGCTGTGTGAGGGGCTGGATAAGCTTCACATGGAGGCAGTGTTTTTCCTACAGTGTTTCCAGATCAAACCATTAGCTGCCCTACAAAAAGAAGTACAAGCTTAGTAATGTTTTAGGGCCCAAAGCCCTATTCTGCTAGTCATGTCTTAAAACTACTTGACAAGAAAAACAAAACAAAAAACAAAACTGTACTTTACAAACAGGCACAAACCTTTCTCTTCCTCCTCTTGACAGATTTCAGTGCAATTCCTAGCTCACCTCTGGACATGGGGTGTTTACAGGGCTTCTCTGGGAGTTTGAGGCATTTTCTCCCTCCTCCTGACTTGTTCCAAGGTTTTCTAGGGATTCTAAGGTCTGTGGTAGGGCCTCTAGGATGCTCCTGGGGGTGGCATTCAGGATCTTCACACTGTTTGTAAGGAGGCACCAGTGTCGGTGCAAAGTGTTCCAGGGGAGGAGGTTGCTGACAGGTGAGAAAATGCTTGGAAAAGTGGAGAAACATCCACATGGAAACCAGGAAATCAACGTGGGTGTTCTCCCCAATCCCTTCCTGAGAAGAGAACCTCATGCCACTGTACACCAGATGGTATGGCGAGGGCTCTGGGGATGGCTGACATGTGGAGTTGCTATATGGGCCTAATTAATTTCCCTCAAACCTAAATCCAGCACTTGCTGTTGTCTCTCCATGAGGCCGGTCCCAAGCCC